TCGTATACGTTTGGTCAGGGCTTGTGTCCATTACGGTATCTTTGCTTTGGATATCAATCAGTCCACCAGATGGAAATACCGCATCTGCTGGTGGTGGAAGTGTTCAAGTGTAAAGACTTCAACCTTCTGGATTTGTCACATGTACCCCTTGATATTTTTTACTTGAATGTTTACAATTGGACATTGAAGGCATGTGTTAGCTTCCAGATAGAAGGGATGCAGAGTTATGCTGCTGGATGATGCAGGTAGTGCTGAAGATTACCTTAGGAATTTAATTGGTGCAGGGAACGGAGTCCTAGGAGTTTAAGACAAACATCCTTTTTCTCCTTTTGTTTTTTTTTTTTTGGTTGTGTTTAAGTAGGGTAGACGATCAAACAGAGAATGATTGGCAAGGAAAATCTTCACCTACGTTCAGATTCCGCCCGGTTGGTCCAGGTTTTGGCATGCTGCTTCAAGATAGTATCTTAAGGAACTATATTGGATCATGCAAGTATCAATGGCAAGATACCATGCACTACTTGATCAATTCCAAGCTTGACAAAAAGGGATGCAGATATCTGCAAAAATAATTACATAGAGGATGCAGTACTTGAGAACCATGAACCACTGGTGCAAGACTTTCAAGTATGTGAACAAGATTTTCCCTGCTCAAGTCGCTAGAATTCAGGAGAAAACATCTGAGAAGTGAGAATTACCCTGCCCTGTTAGTTTTTAGCTTTCTTTTTTCTATCAAAAGAATGTACAAGAGAATTGACTATATAAAAGAACATTGTAGGAAACACTATAGTTTTTGTAATGTAAAGAATATCAGTGTATTTCATTTAGTACAGGAAATTAGCATTTATATATTGCTTGAACGGAAATTCATCTTAGCAGAAATTCACGCATTCGAACTGGCCTCTTTACAGCATTTGTAAAACCCTGCATACAAAAGAAAAGCAAAAACAACACAGAATATTGTTCAGTCCATTAGATACTGTTAGTTTTGGAAATTGAAGTTACTAAAGCAGGGTAACCAGTAGTGACGAAACAGATTTATCACTACCTTCCAGGAGGTAGCTGATATTATGAAATTTCTAGTACCAATAATCCAGATGATGATCTCTCAGTTCGTTTTTTTTCTTGTAAATTGGTTGCACTACTATCTAAGGGCACCTAGATACGAACCCTAATTTGCACTCATAGCAATGTCACATGCTCCGAGAAATTTGTATGAGAATGAAGTCAAATTCCAAAATATTACATATGATTATGAAAATTTTAAAATGGATCAACAAGCACTTAGTTGGCAATTGGCAATGCAATTTTCAGGTTATTCAGAGGTTGGGAAGTTGAGTTGGTAGAATTCATGCTTAGTGTTTACATTTGGCACCACCACTTAAATCCCATATTGGATTTTAAACCAAGGAGAAAATTTGTTAGGTTATTTTAACTTGTAGGTTGTGCAATGGTAGTTAAATTAACTTTCTAATGCTGTTTATTTATGAAAAAGAAAGCTTTTGATTTTTGCACCTTGTGGCAAGTCAGCTAATGTACTATACAGAAGAACAAGAGGCATAGCTTGCAGTATGAAAAAGCTAAGAAGAAAAAGCAAAATATTGGAGAAGAGTGAAAAGTGACTTGAAACATTCTGCTAAATGCCTATATGCTTATAGCCCTGAAATTCTTGATGAAAAGATAGCATTATAATTTTGTTAACCAAAGAGAAAGTGGGAATGCAAACATGAGAATTTGTAAATCAGTCCTTTCAGCATAACCACCGAGCAAGTGACCCTGTCATTTTAATGCAACATTCATGACATGACCACTCAACCAGTCATCTACCAGTCATTAACTCATTACGTAGTCTAAAGATGTGCACAATTTGCAACTTCATAATGATAAAATGAAGTTAAATGCTGGGAACTTACCTCATTAAATTTGAACAACAAAGGGCGCAAATCTCTTTCCAATGTCACTTCCTTCACATCAGCAATTTCAGAATCCTGAGAACCTTTGCTGCTTGGTTTTCTAAACCTGGATCATAATCAACAAAAATTATCAGCAAATAGAAAAGATAATAAACATGCTGTAGCTAATGTATTCTGGTATGATCCCCTACTGGTTATTTTTATAAACCAGATGAGATTTCTTCATGAACTGGCACTGAACCTACATTAGCTATCAAGTTATGACTTATGATCAAAGGTAACATAATTGATTAGTCCTCCACCAACAAATGGCGGACATGATAGTCCCAAACTGACAAATACAACTATATACAACTACAAGAAAAGCGAGGGAGAAAGACAGCTAAAGAAGCCAGGGAATTTGCTGAGAGTTCTGAAACAGTGTGCCTAATGCAGAAATGAAGGTGAGGTGAGATCAATAAGAGAAACCTTCAAATACATGTTGACCTCAGCTTAACCACAATACTCAATCATCTAGAAAAATAAATGTTTGGAAACTCTAATGGCATTAAAAGATGGTCATATTTCATAAGGCAATCAAAGACACCAAAGAAATAGCAATAATATGAAGTTTAAGCAATAGGGATGGACCATCAAAGAGCCAGGTTTTTATTAGTCAAACTTGGTATTAACATAGCAATAACAAAAAGGATAAAGAAGGTTAACATATTAGAAATGAAAATTAAAAGAACAAGGTCAAAATGATCACCTTTCAAAAAAATTGAAACCACTGGGTGGCTTCCTGGTATCTGCAGTGGATTTTTGCTTTGCACCAGTGGAGGCAGTTCTGCTAGAAACTAAAGATGATGAAACTGTGGAGGTACTTGGAAAACCTTGCCTTGTATTGGATATATTCTTCACATTTTCAAAGTTCTTTGCACCTGCAACTGCATTCTCACAAATAGGTTTAGCAGATTTTGCTCCACTGACCCCTTTCCCAATGAAATTCTGGTCTCCATTGCTGCATCCATCTGTTGTATGCACTGATTTTCCAATGCTTACTTGCAAAATCTTTTGCTTCTCGACCTGAAATCAGAAGTGACTACAAAAATAGTTACTACTCACAACAATATGTAACAAAATTTATTTGTACTTAAATTTCCTTCCCAAAAGAAGGCGAAAAAGGTTGAAGACATACATGCCACTCACAGGGACAAGAGATTGTGGTAATAATTGAAAGCTTAAAATATATCCAAGCATAAAGAAAATATTTTAAAGATAAACTAAACATGCAAGAAAATATTCAACTCTTTTTTTGAACTAAATTGACAGATTCAACACTTCTTACTGTGGTTCTAAGGGAAGCAACAATTTTAACTCAAGGCAGGTCTAACTGGAAGTAGGGAAATGGCAAAATGCACCCAGATGCTCAATAATTTAAATCCATGAAAATGGCACCTAACACTGGCTCCAAATCTTCAAACCTCATTATGCATTTGCTGAAATTTACATGCCACTGAAATAGTAAATTTGATCTTCTTTGCTTTTTAACTTATTTATTATGAGTAGATCCTTGATTTTCTCACATAACAGGGAGTTAAAAATGGGACCCTACAAAAATGTTTTGGGCCACCTACAAAGCTTCAAAAGTGAAAAAAAACTGCAACATCACTGTTCTCTCAAATAGCTATGTCTTTACAACATATACATGTTTCCTTTGCCTGGCTAGGAAAAACAAAGATGCTCCCTATCTACATCGTCAAATGTTCAAGATATTAAAACTCTAAACAAAATGAATGAAAGGATTAGATAACAGCAGTGTCATTGACAAAACTTCAGAAATCAGATGCATGACACCAAATAAAATAACAATAGTTTTTCCTATATGTGTTCCCTAGTCTTGTTTCTTCTTCTGGAATGAATTCTTGTTACATGCAGCAAACATCTCACCAAGAATAGAACCAAAAATGCTTTCCTCCACCACATATATTTGAGGATCACACTCCCTATTTACCTGAAGCAATCTTAAAATTGTCAATCATAGATTTTTGGGATTATAATCCAGTTATATAACAGATTACTGAGATTGAAAGGCATAGTAAATTGTTACAACCTAGTGAGAACTAACATAGTCTGTTTCAATTTTCTTTCTCTAAAGCCCAACCTCAGAACCAATAACAGTCATCAGGCTATATGCCAACAATCGATAGGCATCAGCGAACAATCGTACTACTAAATCTTAATGGTATAGAAGAAATATATACAGCAGACTATCAAGAAACTACATTACTTACCTCATGCAATAAAACCTGCTTCATAGCTAAGGCAAGTACATGATGATCTGATGTGTAGTCCTGCTTAATTCAGAGAGATTGATATTCAGGTCAGAATCATGAAATAATGAATAAAATTACATGCCATGAAACATAAAGCACAACTTTAAACCTTGTATTTAATAAATTCACCAATGGGAGGGTCAAAAGAGAGTGCTGAGGCATCTACAATTGCTTCTTGTCCAAGGTTAGTGGACAGAGAATCAGACTTGGCATTCTTATAGGTTATCGAATAGGACACCATGACATTAACTAATTGAGCCAAATCATTCTTCTCAGTTTCTGATAATAAGTGCAATGCCACCTGTTGAACCACATGAGAAGCCACAGAAATGAGAAAATGGGCAAACTGCTATCCTTTTTTTGTTAAGAGAGAATAGGGATAAAAACAAAAAGGGAAATTTCTAGACACATGCACTAGCAGGGAAGAGAGAGGGGAAGCCAAAGTCAGTGTTAATAGTAGGCATCCTATGTCCTGATTAAAGCAGGCCAATTAATATCAATCAAGTCAAAATAAATAATTGATATCATGTCTCTATAAGCAAGTATCTATATGTATGAGAGTTACCTCAGGCATTATGAGCATGAACTAGAAATGCATAGTAGTAAGCAACCAAAAGACTAAATAATACCTACCTTTACAGAACCATCGCTTTAACTAGTGCAAAGAGCTTAGCATCCCTAAACAAAAAATGAAGCAACATTGTCCACAACATCATCCCTTCTGATTAAAATTACCTTTTCCAATGTGCACTCTCAGAGTTTGTGAAGACCATAAATTAATTCCCTCCTTGAAGATTGATATACTGAATACGACACAAATCCATTGATAGACTTAAGGAACCAAAAATTACTTAAGGACTCATAACAATCTTTTTCTAGACATATATCATTAGTTTGCTGAAAAGAACCAAAAATTTCATGGTAATTGCATACTTAACCTTGTGGACAATGCCTATCCAAGAGCCTACAACCATTTGATTGCACATAGCCCTGCCCAAAGCTGAGCTTCTTGCAT